TAAAGCTGAAAAAACATCATAAAGTATCATCGAGTAAAACCTTCTCGTGTATATATTGTCGATAGTAATAGCTGTAGTGAAATTGACCTTTTTTTGTCAAACCTTTCACGAAGTCATTGATCTAGCTGACAATTATCAGTGGACAATGGCATGATCCAAGGGGAGACAGTGCAGACATCATAGGCTTCCTGATGGAATTCTATGACCTATGCATGAATATTGTTGCCAAAAACACAGACTCTGAATCAGATCCCGTCCTCACGACTAACTACCAGTTTGTCAAACACAGAAGGGTTAGTGCATGATGTTATCGCTATGGGAATGGAATCAGCAAAATCCAGAACCTGGAAAACCAGACAGAATAAACACTCGGAGTTCTTCAATAAATTGCCAGGAAAAAGGAAGCAGGAAAGGGACAGGAAGACATCTGGATTCAGAGCATGAAGTGACCCATTAGCCAGACGTGTGGGCCTTGTTTGGACCCTGACTCAAACCAACCAACTGTAAAACAAACAAGAAAAGCAACAAAAACTTCATATGTATTTTATAGAGAGAATATTTTCAAATATATATGTGCACTGTACGCATTTTTAAAGAACTCTTTTTCTTTCAGGGCTCCGTGTGGAAAGAACAGGATTGAATAACAAGAATTTCTGTGATTGGTGGTGGAACCGGATGGGAGTGGGTTTGTAGGATGAAGCAGGAGCAGCCCTGAGTGGACCGTTGTAGCTAGAAGACTCTGCATGGGATCTATTGATCTCCACTTTTCTGTATGCTTGAAATGTTCTGTCGTTGGTTTTGAATTGATAAAAAAATATTTCATTTGATAATGTATCACAAACCATGTTGGTAATTCATGCTTTCACAATGCTGTGACTAGGATTCGAACCCACATTGCTGCAGCCACAATGCTGAGTACTAAGCACTAAACGATCACGGCGAGCTACCGGGGATCCTAAAGTTGGTAATGAATGATGCCTACTAATATTTGGAGCTACTCAGCAGTTCACCACGCAGTTTATAATCTCCTTTCTTCCTCCTGGACTCTCTACTCGGAGAGGCAGCTGCTTGAATCAATGCATCACAGATCAAAGAAACCAAGAGCAGTTGCAGCTAGTAAGTCCCGCCCGGGACTAAAAGTTTAAGTTTTAAGATTCCAAGTCCGGGCTCCTCCTCACACACAGACAAGCTTTAAAAAAGAACAATGGGAGTGGGATAAGAACAGACTCGAGTGACACTTCGGGCCGGACGAGGGGAGAACGGCTGGGAGATCCTTACCCGTCGTGGCCACCAGATGGCGCAGGCTGCTCGCCTCCGGGAGGAGAACCGGGCCGCGGCCCAGCGCGGAGGCTGCGGCGAGACCCCGAAGGCCAAGGGCAAGACGCCGGCCCTCTTTCCCGCCAACAGGGATGGGACTCGAACCTAAAATGACCAAAGTTACTGTTGGGGTCTTGGTGCCGCCACAAGAGCTTGTAGAAGGAAGTTTCCGGATTTTTAAGGGGAAAAAAAGGGGCGCAGGTGTTCCAGGTGGGGGTACGCGCTCTGCTGCCTGAAATAAGCGGTGACCCTGCGCTCGGCGGGCGGCCTGGGACCCCAGCGGCCGGGGAGTCTCCGTCACGGTCGCCGAAGGGCCTGCTGCCTGCCCTGCTCCCCGGCGACACGCAGAGCGCGTCTGGAGCAGACGGAGGAGGGGCGGGAGGGCTGCGGGGATGGCCAGGGGCAGACTCCTTCCCTTTTAAACCGCAACAAGGAGAAATTCGGTGGCCACCCAGGTCAGAGTCCCTAACGTGTTTAAAGAAAAAGAAAGTCTAAGTCCAGGCTGCCAGGAGCAGCTCCTCCTTCGGAGCAGTGGAGGAAGTCCGGCTCGTGCGGTGCCGGCAGCCGGGAAGCCCCCGGGAACCCGCCTGTGGGTGCGGGGCCCAGGCCTCGGGGTCCTGGGAGGGAGCCCGACCCTCCGCGGAGGCGGGAGCGGCGGGCGGATTCCGCGGGTTCCAGTCCAGCCGCGCGGGACCTGCGGGGCTCGGGCGCTGGAAAGCCTCAACCGGAGGGAGGGGCCTGGGGGCGCGGGGGTTTCATAGAATGGGACCCAGTCGGACTCACCAACGTAGTTTCGCGAACTGCCCTTGGAAAGAACCTCCAGGGGACGCCGAAACCTCCGCAAGGTGGGAGCCAAACTTTTGGAGTCGGCGTGCAGCGAGGCCGGGGACATTTGGGCGCCAGCGGGAGAAGGGGAAGGACGCAACGTCCACACGAGTGGGAAAGGAGTGATTTCAATGTTCGTCCCTACGAAACCTCAGTTTCGCTTAAAATCAAGAGACGGGAGGGAATGTTTTCATTCCGAGCGTTTCCATGACACCTGCATAATTAGAAAATCACCTGCATCCGCCCCCTCCCCCACCCCTCCCCACTTGTTTGGTGCAGAAAGGAGGCCGGGAGTCTGCCCGTCCACCCAGGTTCGCAGTTAATCCACGGCGGCTGAAAGGAACGACGCTGGGGCCGAAAGCTGACTTGGCGCTTCCACGCTCTGCTTTGCGGAGCTGGGCGAGGCCTTGCAGCGGGTTCTCCGCGGCTCCGAACGCAGGCCCTGGTTCCCAGACTGGGACTGGGGAGCCTAACGTGCAACCGTCCCTCCTCCCCGGTTTCTTCTCCGACGGTCCCTGCCTTTCCCAGGGGCGGCCCCGCACCCCGCGCCCAGGGCGACTACCCCGCGTCCCAGCAATTCTGGCAGCGAGCTCGTGCCGGGGCGGGGCGGGGGCTTGGAGGGAGGTGGCGGTCCCGCTCGGATACTCTCCAAAGCAGAAAAGACTTCCAGGGGCTACAGGTGGGCCGCTTTTTTTGTTTGCCTTAAAAAAAAAAACCTAACAACTATAAAGTGGCGATGTAAAGGACACGTATGGAAAATGGCAGAGTATTTCCAACTCAGGGTCGGATCCTGTCGGCAGTTCGTTTTCCTCCTTCGTTGCGGCTGACCTAACCGTTTCGGAGTATTTTTGTGGGGGGCAGGAACCGCGTCGAAGTGAACCCCGGCGAGTCAGCAAACTCCCAAGCGGGTGTCTGCCCGCTGCGCGGGGGGAACGCGGCTTTCGCCGGCGCACACTCAGGGGCCCTGGCGGGGAATGTAAACAAACCCGACGCCGAGCCCTTGATCTTTATTTAAATCGAGGCTTGTTTATCAGTGTCATCCTAGGAGGGTTAATTAGATACATCTCTTCACAATTTGGTGTCTGACACTCCATCTTAGGAATGCCTTATCACAAGGTGTTAATTGGGGCCACTCAGCCACTAAGGTTTCCATTAAACACTGTGAGGGACTTTTCACAAGTACCAGGTTCTTTTACTGTACGGTGCAAAAATATACAGGACTCGAAATAGACTGGGGCCGGAGTCGGCTTCATCCCGGCAGAGATGAGCAATTTCGGGCTTTCTAGGGGGCAGGACAAGAGACCACCTTTGGAAATTCCACTGCGTCTCCCAACTCGCTCTGGTCCTTCGGGGATTGGAGGGCGCGTGGCACACAGGTCGGGGGGCCTCCTTCCGGGGTCCGAATGTCATCGGGCACACAAACATGACTCAGTCCTCTAAGTTAACTGTTCCTCGGTCAGCAGTTTTTCCAAATCTTTGAGCTCACTTTCATTTTGGGCCATAGAAGGATGCCTGGTGGTAGAAGCGGTAGCAACAGTGTAATGTGAAATGCACTTTGTGATGGAAGCACAATACATAGCCTTGCTTGTCAAATAAAATAAAAACGCACAGAAACCAAATTCCAAAGCGAAAGCTTGCAGCTCAGGTAAAACTCTGGGCGGCTTCGGCAAAGCGCCTTTTGAACCCGCACGGGCGGAGACGCGGCGCCGGAGAGCGAGCGCACAAGGTCGCCGGCTGCGCGGGAAGAACTCGCGCCCCCGAAGGGGGGAGGGACTGGGAAACCGGGGAGAGGCGAGGTACCGGCTCCCGGCGGCCTTAATTGGACGCGGAAGGGGAGGAGGTCCGGGCTGATTGCTCGCCTCCCAGCAGCTAATCCTCTTAGCGGCTGCATTTCCGCGCCACAGTGAGCAGAATGACCCTCCTGGCCAGACCTTTACCCCGGGAGGGTCAGGAGGGGGCTGGAAAGGTTTGCAAGCTGGGCCTGCAGCCGTCTGCTGATAAACCTGGCGGGACGTCTGGCAGGGGGACAAAGGGTCCTCCGCCCCGTCCTCGGTTTAACTCTTCGGCGGGCCCAGGGCTCAGCCGGGGGATGGGGTAGCCTCCGCCCTCCTGGGGGAATGAGAGCCAAATAAACGGAGCCAAGCGCGAGGCGAACCGCTCCCTGGTCGCTGTTTGCAGAGAGGCGGGGACGGCCGGAATCTCGCGCCGCAGCCCCTGTCCCGGGGCGAGTTCGGCTGTCCGCCAGGCGCCCCAGCCCGCAACCTCCCCAGCAGCTACCGGGGCGCGCAGCCGCAGGGCTCCGCGCAGAAGCCGCAGGTGGGAGCAGAAACTGAGCTGTGGGCGGCCGGCCCCCTGCCGCTCCGCACGTACCCGGAACCCGTGGGCGCTCCCAGGGCCGCGGGGGTTCCCAGGGAGCCCACACGGGTCCGGGAGGGGTGGTCCCAAGTGAGCCTAGGAGGCAGCCCAGAAAACTAAGTGGCCGTGGACCGCGGTAGGACCTGGAAGCCAAGGGGGCGACCTCCACCCTCCATTCCCAATACCCGTTGTCCGGACTTCCCAGTGGGGTGAGGAAGTAACCCCATTCATGTTCGAGGAAAAAAAGACAAAAAGCATCCCCACTCCCCCTCATGACTAGTGTCCACCTGGAGATTCTAGAGCCTTCCATGGCAAGGGGAGGGTTTGGTGGGACAGTTCATGGGGGAGACGGGTGGAAGAGGAAGCAGGAGATCTTCAGGTTAAAACCCGTAGTACAGAAGACAGAGCTATGCCTGTTCCCTTAATGAACCACATTTATTTTTTAAAAAATGACTAAGACTGTACATAAAAATCCAAGATCTCTAAAAAGTCTCTAGGAGCTGTGGCATCGGCTTTTAGTTTATTCACATCATGGAGTTGGGCGGTACTGGGGATGGCGGAGGAAAAGGGTGCAATAGGAGTTTTCCTTAGACACGGTTCAAGTTAAGTACAGAGTAGCTGAATACATTCTTAACTATCTAACAGGTAAACAGAATATCCCCAAATATGGTGGGGGTGAGGAGAGGAACTATCCCCCTGCTCTGGCGGAAGCCGTTGTTAGGTGATCTGCAAACTCTTTACAAAGCCGAAGCACCAATGGTACATAATCTCAGACACCTATGTAGACTATTTGTACAATATATCCCACGTTATTCTACAGTGCATCTAACCACACACAGCTGTACACGTTAAATTTTTTCTTTTCCTTTATTTTTTGGGGGTGACTCCCTCTTTTGTCCCCTCCTGAGTCTTAGGAACCCCCCCAGGCACACGGCAGAGGCCTAGCAAGCGAGGCAATCCTGAACCAGGGCAAACATGGCTTGTTTTGAAAGCCTGGGACGGCTCAAAGCCAGGTAAAATCTGTACCTTCACTCAAGTTTTTCCGGCCTCCCAGGCCTAACATCTTTTGTCCCTAGCAGAAGGTAAGAGCAAAAAGTCCCTTGTTGAAGCTTAAGGACCAGTCCTTTATTAGAAGCAAAATGCCTAACCGGTTCTGGGCTTCTATGCGCTTACAGATTTAAAAAATACTGTAGAAATAAGAACCAAAGCTTTCACCTCCTTGGATAGCCCTCAGCACTCAAGCCCCTTTCTCTGCACGTTTAGTGTTTCCAATAAATAAGTCTAAAACCTTGAATAACCTTCACATTCTAAAATGCTTCAAGTCCTCCGTGAACTTTATTTGAGAAAGAAAAGTAAAATGCTGGGCTTGTTCCAGTTACCTGCAGCAATCAAAAAGCTTTGGCACCTTCTTTTAGAGAATTGCACAGACCAGGACGCATCACGGTGGAAGGCAAACGTCTTTTTGGCAACCTAGGCAGAGAAGACAACGAAAAACGCCACCCAAGTCCATCTGCAAAAAGTTAGCTCATTCTTATGAGGTTCAAATAACTCTTTAGGGAGTTGTGTAGAAAGCGTAATACCCTCCCATGCCTTTGGAGGTGTCTTTGCTGTACTCTTCAGCGTTCATGTCCTCACACTTTATGGAGGGGGAATTTTCGTTACTGGAGGTGCTGGGAGACAGCCGCCTTCGCTTACAAGCACTGGTGTAGACCCCTGAATCATTGGAATCCAGAGACTTGATGGAAGGGGGCGTCTCTATCCAAGAAGAGCTAATTTCTTCTTTGACTTTCTCCTTGGAGAGTTGATTTTCAGAGAACACGGGGGGGCTTGTTCTGGAGGTCCATGGGAGTCCAGCCGCCATCTTCCTCTGGTAAGAGCCCCGACCTCCCCAGCCTGCCATTGCAGGGAAGGCTGGGTCAGGGTAATACCCCAGGGCATGGGATGTCTGGAGAGGCAAGGATTTAATACCATATGGGAGCAAGGTGCTGGAAGTATACTCAGACTCATAGGAACCGATGTCTAGTTTGTTGGTCCCAGGTTGCTGCACAGGTGTGACAAGCCACCGCTGGGGAGGGTTGGCCACCTCTTCGTTCTGTTGGGGCGAAAGGAGGCCGTTGGTCTGTGGCACGGTTCTCTCGCCATTATAATATCGGGCTTGAGGTAAAGTGTTGACAAAGGGCTCCGGGAAGAAGGACTGAACGCCGTACCGACCTCCAGGGACAATCTGATGGGATCTAGGAGAATCCGTGGGAGATGGAGTTAACCTGTCATTTTCTGAAGCCGTGTACATGCTACAATATAAAGAGAAACACTTAAAAAAAAAAACCTAACGTTGTCCCCAAACAAACCAAATTCCCAGAAATGAAAAAGTCTCGAGTACTGGGCTCTGCTGGGAGTGCTGCTCTGTTGACGTGCAGAGATGGAGGTAGAAGGTGGCGTGGCCCACCTGGACTCTTGGCTCACGGGGAAAACTTTCCCGCCCCGTCGGAAATAGTTGCCTGCCAGGCAGGAAGTATTTAAACTATAGGAAATCCACCTTTGCAAGTCTTAGGATTTGAGGAACTCAGGGCAACTCTGCCTGTCAGTGTGATGGGAGGAATGCTGGCTGCCCTGTGAGGAATCCCAGATTTAAAAGGCATTTGCAGAGCCTTGCTGTTGATGTGAAAATTACATCCTCTTAGCTTCAGGTTTTTCTTATGTTAAAAAAAAAGAGGGGGAGTAATGATACTTGCTTCTGAGAGGATAACATAGTTGGATTAAATGGAAAGGTATGTAAATGCAGATTATGAAAATTTCAAATCTCCACTTAAATGTAAAAAAAAAAAAGCTCCTCATTTTTAAGCCCTTAACATTTCTTTAGAAATGAAGAAAAACCCTTCTGAGGAAGTTCTAAAGCAAGATTAGTCAAGGCCAAAAAAAAAAGTAAAAATAAAAACAGGTAAAAATTGCAAACAGGAAAGCTTTTTTTCTACAATATGTTCTTGGGAAAGTGTCTGTTTATGAATGAATGTCCTGTTCAAAGATGACATGCAAGCATGAATAAAAGCAGCACTTACGAATCATAGTTGTCCCGGAAGCCTTTTGCAAAGGGGTTATGATCAATCTTTAGTTGCGTTATCTGGATAGGGGGAAAAGATAGTTGTTGAGTGCTTTATCACACAGGACCTAGCTCTCCCGAGGGTCTTGGGACACTGGGGATACTCACATCGGTGTTTTGGTAGGCAGTGACCGCAATGAACTGTGTTTCTGAAAAGGTAAATGTCTGGGTCTTCGAGGGCTCGTTCAAGTCCTCCACACCATCCTCCGTCACCTCCACGATGTGCAGCCGTGGCTGGTACTTGTGTAAAGACTGTAGGACTATCATCTGGAAATGAGAGGGGGACAGAGCGGCCAGATTGAAAGAGTCTCTCTTAGAGGCTCAAGTGAAGTAGATGATCTTAACCAAGCACCTATTTTGGAAGGGGGCTTCCGCAGGCTTCCCACCGACAGCTCTCTTTTTCTATCGCCATTTTTAAGGTCTCGCTGTTGCCATTTTTGAAAGTTAAAACAGAGCTGGGCATGTGTATTTCAGAAATACTAAGTCCTCCGGAGCTTTCAGTATTTCTGTTCCTATTAGTCAACTCACTTACTGAAATCCAGTAAGAAAGTGAAAATGAGAAAGTTCAAAAGAAAGAAAAACAGAAATAGGCCAGCAAACAGGTAACACTGCAAATATAAACACAGCGAAGGGCAGGGCAACGTGTCAGGAAAAAGATCTACAGCCAGAAGACACCCTTGCTCTGTCACTCTACCTGAGTGTTGTTGTTGTTGGCGCCTTTGTTATTGGTGAGTTTTAACTTCCCGAAGGAAATCTCCTGTCTCATCCAGTGGGAACCAGTATTAGGAGATTCTGGGTGGACATACATTTTGTTGCCTAAGAGAAAATGACACAAAACACAAAACCGTAGCATATAGGGCTGTTTGCAAGTGGAGTGGAGGGGGGAGGGATGTCTTGCTACCTCTGGTCAAGGTTTAAGAGCAGGACTTACAGCACAGATCTCGCCAGCACTAGCTGCTTAAGAAGGCCCAGGGAGACCAGCTAGACTCAACCCAACCCCACCTCCTCCAGGGCCCCTCTGCTGCCCCAGTTTTCCTTGGACAAGGTGCTCATCTGAACAGTACCTCAAAATACAAAAACTACAGCTTACAGGAGATGCCTCTCATAGTTCAAATAAAGCGGAAAGACAGCATCTGGTGGAAATGGTTGCATTTTCATGCCCAAACTTGCCGGGGGGGAGGGGTGGGGCTGGTGCTTTCTCAAGTGGAGATCAGAACGCCACCCAGAGAGTTTACGACAATTCAGGAGAAGTGTTTTCTCAAAGGTAGGCATTGTAGCGCTGCGGTAGGGTTATGGTTCAAGCTCTGTACATCGGTAAGCAAGAAATCTGACTTCGCGATTCTCTCCTTTAGTCAATCAATCGAGACAAAGAAACTCATGCTGACACTTCTAGGTTCCAGGGGTGTGTGTGTGTGGGGGAAATGCTTGTGTCAAGGGTTCCCCATCCGCCCCTCCCTGCCCCGGCCTCCTCGCTCCTCACCCTGCATGTTATTGTCGGCTTTGCCGCAGGTCACCCACTTGCCCCCCTGGAAGCGCCAGTGGTTGGGGTCCGCCAGAACCACCTCTACGAACACGTTGTAGTGGGCGGCAGGATTGAGTCCGTTTATGTTGAAGCTCAAGAAAGGAAACATGCGCCTGTGCGAGGAAACAGAGGCAGGAGAAGCGACTTAATCGCCTCGAGAGCAGGCCCACACCGGGCCAGGCTCGAGGGCACCAGGGTAGGGTCGGAGTACGACACAGAGAAGTCTGCAGAATGACCCCCACACCGATAAAGTGGTCCTTAGTTTGTAAAATATTTTTAAAGCTGGGCCGTCCCTTCTCCAAAACAATTTGCCCCAAAGTCAGTATTTCCCACAGTCACCTGCTTCTCCGACATCTCCCCATTCAAGTGCTGGACGTTTTAAGATGTTTATTCATTTGTCTTCCATAATGTGAAAGATCATTAATTTTTGTAAGTACAAGTATCAGAGAACAACATTAAGTTGTTCTTGTGAACACACAAAGAAACTGTTTTGTTTTGTTTTTCTTTCCATTTTTACTGGTAAGGCTACAAGTCCCTTTTCCGAGCCCCTCTCTCCCCACCACTCACTATCTGCAGAGGTACCCACTGTTGGCAGTGGGATGCGTATCAGAACTTTCTCACCCCTCGAACTCCAGCCAGGTCTGGTTCCAGGGCCTGCCTAACCAGCTACCCGGACCCAGCCTCCCGTGCCGGGGCTCTGGTCCTTACGCCCATCCTCCGGATGCGCCCCACCGAGACCCTGGCGCCAAAAACTGCGGGAGCCCAGCTACAGGGCTCAGGGGGCCAACCCTTGCGACTTCCCCCGCGCCCCCCCCCCCGCCCCATCCTGTTTCTCGCGGGCAAGCAGGGAGCAGAATACCGCCGATCGGGCGGATCTAGTAAATTCAGTCTTGTGGACAAGCCTCAATTTCCATTTCCGAGTTTCCTTGTCAGTTCAGGTCAGGGTAGCCGGGGGGGAGGAAGCAGCCTAAACATTTAGCACCCAGCACAGACCTCCCGTGAACATGAGGGAAGGACACCGAATCGGAGATGCGCTGTCTACACTGAAACACTCTCCAAACAAAGTGCATCTCCGGCCTTCCCTGGGGCCACACTCACTGTCCACCCCTCGCGCCCTGGGTCCCCTCCGCGCCGCGCTCACCTGCCCTGTTTCGTAATGATCATCTCGGTTTGGTGGCGGTGGAATTTGAGCCACAGAGGCCGGTTGCATAGGTAGACGTGGGCACGTAAACTGGAACCAGAAACCTCCAAGCTCCCCCATGCTCCGCACGAGCCCGCGGCTGCCGCCCCGGGGTACGGCCCGTAGAGCGGAGCGCCCTGACTGTACTGATAGGCTCCCGGGCCGCCTCCCCCGCCGCCGCTGGCGCCCGCGCCACTGCTCGCGCCGACTCCCGGACCGAACTGCGCCCTCCCGGGTGGGCACACAGTCGCCGGGAAGCCGCCGGAGGGCAGCATGGAGCCATAGGGGTAGCGCGCACCATTGGGAGCCGGGTACACAGATCCGTGGGGCGCCCCGGCTGCAGCCTGGTACGGAAAGAGGGAGCAGGGCGCGGCTAGCTCGGAGCCCTGAGGCCCCGGGGACTGGAGGTAGTAGCGCTCCGAGCTCAGGCTGTCCATGGAGTAGCGCGCGGTGGCGGCGGCTGCGGCTGTAGCAGCGGCAGTCGCGGCTGATGGCAGCTCCTCTTCCCCGCAGGGGGAGCCCTTGCGGCCGTCCGGGGGCCCTTGCTTGGCCACTGCCGCGGTGCTGGCAAAGGCGTCCCCGGCGTCGGCGTCACTGAGCATGACCGCGGGGGCCCCCGCGCCGGCGGCTGCGGATTCCCCGCTCCCTGCCTCGCACGAGAGGCTGCCCGAGAACTTCTTGGGCGCTTTGTCTAAGTCCAGCCTCTGAGGCGAGGGGGTCGCGCCGGGGAGGTGACCAGCGGTCCCGCCGCCGCCTCGCGCACCCTCCAGCGGGTAGAAGTGCGCGCCAGGCAGGTTCACCGAGCTCACCAAGAGCTGCTCCCCTAACTGCATGCTTTACAAAGCGCAGACGGCAGTATTTCCTCTCCTCCCCTCGGCCTTATTATAAAGGCAGGATGGGGGAGCCAGCGCCCTCTTCCGAGGGGAAGGTAACTTCCCCTTCCTCCTTTGCCCGGGCTACCCACCTGGCGACAAGCGGGCAGCTACGGCGCGCTCGCGCGTACTGAACCCAGCGTCCTTTCCGCAAGGAAAGCGCACTGAGTTTGAAAGGTACAAGGTGGAAATCGATCGGGAAGAACTCTTCTTTTCTTAGCCGTCCTTCCAGCCTCTCTGGACCCCCACCTTCCTCCCACACTCACACCCAGGAAGAAGAGGACTCGGATCTCTGTTCCCATCCACCCACCAGTGCTAGCCTTTCTGTCCTTGACTGCCAGGCTTTCGGTCAAGTTGACCACTTGGAAACTTGCAGGCTGTCATTGGCCGCTTTATATACGTGCTGCCAGGGAGGGGCTTCGCGGCCCCACAGTCCTGGGACCCTCCTATTGGCTGCTGGAGGTGACACTAATTCAATTAGGCATGTACTAATTGGATCAAGTCACCTGCGACTTTATTTTTCCTTTTCCTTTACTCTGATTTTTTTTTTTTTTTTGAGACTGTGTCCTGCTGTGAGAATCAATTCTAGTGTCTATTTCCCCAGAGTCTAGGCGGACAGGGTTTGGGTTCTCCGCGGCGGGCTCCACTCTGGGCACCGACATCCTCTCCGGGCTCCTAGAAGAAAATGCGGGGGCGGGCGCAGGTTTCCGAGGCCAGGAGGAGAAAGGCTCTGCAAGTTGGCTTGTGGGGCGGCCTGGTCCCTGAAGGTGGGGATGTGCAGTGAGTCGGAGAGAGGCCCAAGCGAACTCCCCTAGTCAGGGGCTGTGACCCCAGGCACTTTCCTCCCGAAGGGAGAAGACTCCTTGGCCTTCGACACACACGAACCACTTTGGTTCGGTCCCATCCTTTTACTCAGTGGGGAGGATTTGTGGGAGGAACATCGCTCTGGGCTTTCGGGATTCGGGGACGGCGAATGCCTGCTGCCATCCTTGAGGACCAAAGTCCTCAGCTTAGGAATCAGAAGCCCCGGCGGGGTGAGATACTAGGAACTCCCACACCCCCAGGCCAGCATGCCTGCTTTCGGGAGGCAGTCACTTTTACTCCCCACAATTTAAAATCTGAGCCGCTCAGGTTCCCTGAATCCCAGATCCTACCCCCACCCCATCATCAGCTGCGCCCGACACCGAGAAACAAAGGTTCCCCAGCCGCCTCGCGGTTGATTCCCTGAGCCTCTCCTCCGCAGCTCAACACAGAAGGTAGAATAATTAGTGAAATAATCAGTTTGATATTGAATGAAGCCCTTTTGCCCCAGCTGCTTGTTTCTCTCCTGCGTTTCCGCAGAGAGTGGAGTCACGAGTGGCGCCGTCATATTGTATTGTTTTATTATTACAGGGGATGGGGCAAGTTTCCTCGCTGATCAGAAGCCTGAATATTCGCTGTTAATAAGCAATTACAGGCGCTGCTTGTAATCGCTACGGGAGCGCATTTTCCGGCTGAGATGTCGGGACTCTGCTTCCCCAACCGAACGCGATCACACGGGAAACTCTTCGCCCACCACAGATGAGGCGGCCACGGGATTTGCTGAGCTCCCACACACTGGTGCAGAACGGCTCGAAGCTGTCTCAGCTAGGTTCAAAGCACGGCAGCACCAACATCGGCACGTGTGGGTTAGAGAGAGAGACGGTCGGTCCTGATGCAGCTCAGACGCTTCTGGGCTCTCGCCAGTGTTTCGCGGTGGCGAAAACAGAGCGCGCGCGCCCAGGTCTCCAGTGTTGAGGCGCAGCCAGAGGGAGGGAGCAAGTTAAGCGAGTGGGTCGAGGCAATGGCCCCTTAGTGCCCAGCCGGAGCGGCCCTGGGGCCGAACCCGGGAAAGCTGGCCCGGAGCGGGCTCGGTCCTGCGCTCCTTGCATTTCGTCCCGCCAGTTTAGTTTGGGGTTGGCATGGCCCGCTCTGGTCGCCCACCATCCCCTTGCACTCCCCCGGCTTTTGTTTTATTTTGACCCAGGGAAGGCTTGAAGAATTGAACTTTCTTTGCAAGTCCTTCGTGATTTTGTAGACTTCATGATTTTCCAAGTGGAGATTTTGTGAAGGGGATTCGAGGGCAAGGACAGGAAGGGGCGGAGAGGCCGGAGTGAGTCGGCGACGTGGCCCGGGGCTAGGGGATCCCGGTAACTACTCCTCGGCTCCCCCACCTCACCTTTAAGCTTCAGCGTGTTTGCTGAAGAAGTAGGGGTGAGATCCAGTCTCACGTTATTTGGAGATAGGGTGGCAGCGGGTAGATAGCAGTTTTGCCTTTTATTGCTTCGAGAAAGCGGTCCTTGGTGCCCCTACAAATTGCTTTCGAGGCGACCAGGGAAGGGCTGCGCGTGGCAAAGTGCCATCGCAGGCAACAGGCATCGTTCCGACCTACTCGGGCGCACACAACGCGGGCCAGCTGTCTCCCGTGCCACGTCAGAAAAAGCTGATTTTAGGGCAGCCCCAGAGCTGGGTCCTGAAACGCATGGGTCCATTCGGAGTGCTACTTAATTATTAAATGTACTACACGTACATGGTACGTGTAATCGGCAGTAGTGTTGATTCCTGGGGCGAGAAACTGCAGTTTTTTTCTCCCCGCCTCACCAGTAGAGCTATTATTTCACCCAAACTTTAGCCCATTTCACAGATGGAGAAACAAAGAGAACCCAAATCCAGGCTCCATAAAACTGGCCTGGGACTCAGGAATTTTGGAATATGAAAAATATGTACATAATTTAGGATCACATTTGATACACATATATTACAAATGCCTTCTTTAAATATAAAGAAAAGGGACTGTTTTTAGGTAAAGGTGATTTCTTTCCCCTGACTGCATAAAGAAATCTCACTGAATGGTTCTTCTGTACTAATTAACTAATTACATGTTTAAGATTACATATAGAATATACTAGTCTCAATGCATAAAGAGTTATAGATGAGCAAAGCTGTGGTTTCTGATTTGGAGGGGGCTCTTCTTTTGCTGGTTCCATTTTACCCATAACCAGGGAAAGGGACATGGACACTATTTTCACATGTCCCAGCTGCACTTTAAAAAAAACAAAAACGGCTCGTTTTCCAGAAATAGGAACAGAAAAGAAATCTAAGGCCGTGGCTTCAGGGGACCCGGCAGGCAGCACCCTTCTTAGGTTGGGTGGGCAAATAACAGAGCCTTCCAGCCTGTTTGCTGTTTGATTTCAATTACACCCCAAGCTTCATGAAATCCAAATGAGACATTTATTGAAAGGTGCCTGGTTTTACATGGCTCAACTGACAGTGTATTGGAGTGCACTGAACAAAAACATCAACACTGGGGAGGAAACGTGGAGACCCCTTGGAACCCCAGCCCCAAATGCTGGCTGGATTAACTCAAATCTTGCACCTTTCCGCCTGAGACGGAGCAAGCAGGACCCTTTGATGGCGACAGTGAACCCAAGGCCAAGCCTGTGTGGGAGCCCATTAAGGATCTCTGCTGTGGTCTCAAGCAATAATTCCAACTTCATGCCACGGTCTCACCCTGATAACACAAAGTGACTGGCAGCCCAGCTAGGTGAACTCGTCACCCCTTCCTTCCTTTCAATGGCAACCACTATGGGCATTCATCTTTTAAAAGCAAAACGGAGAACCATCTGGCTGTTACAGGACTATCATAATCAAATGCATACACACATGCATGGGTGAAGTACGGTGGTGAGTACAGATGAGTGCAGTGATATGGAGTTTACCTCCTCCCCATGCTCCCCCCACACAACCAAGGGGGCCTATATAAATGTCCCAATAAATTCTATTATTTTCACCCCCACTAAAAATGTGTTATCCAAACACTGTCCGTGTTATTCAAACACTTTGTAAATTCTGAGCAGACTCTCTGCCGGTTCTCCTTTTAACCCTAGGAAAACATTCCAACATTAACCGGTCACCAGCGCTTCGCCTGGACTCTGGGAAAACGTCAATGGGTTTTTTGTGGTGAGTTGGTCCTTTTACTATTTATCTATGGCCTTTTCTTTGTTGACGTTACGTTTTATTTCACCATCTCGGTTTCACTCTTTGGCCCTTTGTTCTCTGATGGCCAGATCTGCCGCCTCCACTGTGCTTTCCGAGGGGGGAGGGGCTCTCCTGGCCGTCAGGTTGTGCACGTTTCACTTTTCTTTTTGTTGAAAAAAAAAAAATGTCCTGTAAGATCAAGCAGTTTTGGAAAGGATAGGTAGTGTTGACCCTGCTGACAACAGCAAGATACTCTCACCAACTCAGTTTCACTTTTATAAGCATTTCTATTTCACTGTGACATTAAAATGGACTGATTGCTTGCTTAAAAAAAAAGTCACCAGGTCCACAAATGTGTGAGGGAAAGGGTTATATTAAACCCACTCAAACAGAAATCGACCAATTGAATCTATTATCTTAGCTATCAATCCATATGTTTAGATGGCTGAATGCAACTGTTCATTGTTTAAATATGGGGAGGTGGGGAGATCCTCTCATAAAGATTAATAAACATGCCAAGTTGATTATTACAAAAAGCAAATGATCTCTTCTTAACATTGAATCAATAACTTTTTATGAAAGTAGTTTTTAAACTACAAATGATTTCCTGGATTTATCGGCTGTCTTATTGTCATCATCGTCATCATCATCATATCTATGGAAGTGCATAGATTCACCTGAATAACAAGAAAAGCCACAGGAGAGTAAGTTAGCAAAGTAAACTACTCTCAAAAGTCAATGATGGGAATGTTTGGCTAATTGTTGCTGCATTAAAATATGAAAGAGTTATAGGCTGCTCCACCTGTCTTGCCCACTTGCCACCTTGAGAGACCTGCCACTTAGGTGCTCATCTGCTCAGTGAAGAAAAGGGTCCTCAGTTTGTGAAGTAGAACAGATAAAACAGGGGTCCTGTCGGGCCCTGGGCTTTACAACCACGAAGACCAAAGTGAAAATGCTTTTGCTCTTTTTCCTAAAGGAAAAAGGAAACACAGATCTTTGTAAATTAATGGAAGAGGCATTTTCATTGTTTTTAGACTTTTTAAGATCTTGAAACTCTTGTTTTAGACGTTTCCTAACCCAGCGTTCTTACATTATGGCGTGCCTTTCCATGTGCTTGTCATTGCTGACACTTTTCCAGGGGAAAATACGAAAGTTAGGGTCGGGATTGCAGTGTTAATGGGAGTGACCACCAGGTAGTCTAGGAGGAACATCCTGAACATGTGTCACCTGCACCGCACTAACAGAGTTGGCGTTGGGAAATTAATGTTTCACCAGGAGGCACGCCTAGGAGACAGGTGCGGCAGGGTGTCTACACAACAGGTGGTCAGAATCCGA